TCCGAAGGTGGAGCTGAGAGCGAGTGACTTGTAGGCAGAGGAGTGGACTGTGGCGAGGACCAAGTGAAGCCGAGGCGCTGAAGGACCTGCTGCACCATGTGTGACTGAGTCAGGGTGATGGTGCGGCGAGCTCTGTCCCGGGTGATTTGCAAGCCATGATAGCTGCACACCTCACCCATGTCTATGCACGTGTGTCTCTTCTGCAGCTCCGACTTTACAAGAGTCAGTGCCTCAGTGTCAGCACTGGCAAAAACCAAGTCGTCGACGTACGCGAGGATGTAGAGCAACGGCAGCAAAGTGTGGGTGCGCAGAAACAACGACGGGTCAGCAGTCGAAGGAGCAAACCCAAGAGCTGCAAGTGTCATCCTTAGTGTGTCGTGCCGCTCACGAGGCGCCTGGCGGAGACCATAGACTGGCCGCCGGAGGCTCCACTGGGTACCTGCAGAAAACAACCAAGTGAAGCCAAGTGGGCGGCGCAGCCAGATCTCCTCGTGCAAAGTGCCATGTAAGAAAGTTGTGCTGAAGTCAAGAGAGTGAAGCTCGTAGTCAGGCTGAGCAGCGACGTGGAGCAGCACCCGATAAGTGGTCATCTTCGTGGTAGGGGAGAAGGTCTGGAAGAAGTCAACTCCCTATCGCTGACTAAAGCCTCTGGCAACGTAACGAGCCTTGAAGACAAACGGAGAACCCGGCGGCCGCTTCACCCTGAAAATCCACATGCCATCGACTATGTTCGCCCCAGGAGGGGGAACTGCGTCGACGTAAGTGCCTGTGGACTTTCAGGATGCCATCTCTGCGTCCATGGCTGTCTGCCACTGAGAGGAGTAGGGACCTGTAATCACCTCTGAGTAAGAGCGAGGGGTCGGGATGTCTGGAGCATCCGGGTCTCCCTCAGGTGCAAGCAGCATGGACACGAGATGAGGTACAGCAGCCGCAAGACACTCAAAGCCCTCCTGCCTGTCCTCAAGGACATCCGTGCCAAGAGCACACTCACCCCCAACGGACGAAGGACAGCCAGACTCAGAGTCAGCAACAAGACTAGCGGCGTAGTCGAGACGACAGCTAGGAGCAAAGTCGACAAGCTCGGCAACTAGGGCAGACGCAGCAGTGGACTCAAACGACGCGTTGGTGACAACAGTGGCTAGAAGACGTGTGACAGTAGGACTGGCAGCACGAACTAAGTCAGACTTAGTGTCTGGACCGTCAGGAAGAGAGGACGCAGGAGGAGACCATAGGGGAACTGGCAGTGGAACAGAGGAAGGACGAAGTGTCATACTGTGAGTGCCGGGGACAGGAGGAGGACGCGGACGCGGAACACGACTACCGGTGCGACCAGCGCGAACAGGCGAGGCAGGGCGAGACGCAGACTTACGACGCTTTGTAAGAGAGTCTGTCAGCTCAGTGTAAGGAGAAGGAGCAGGCAGTGGGGAGGCTGGCTGTAACTATGGCTGCGACTGGCCTGGCGGTGGACACAAAAGAGGCGGAGTAAGGTCAGTAGAAGACGGGAGACCAAGAACCTGGAGAAGCAGTGGAACGAAGTACGGTCGCGGCCGCACAGCGCCTCCAGCACCAGTACCGACAGCTCCAGCACCCCCAGCTCCAGGGTCTCCAGCTCCAGCGCCTGCAGCACCACCAGCTCCAGCAGCTCCAGTACCTCCAGTATGAGCACCTCCGGGACCAGCAGCTCCAGCACCTCCAGCACCTCCAGCACCAGCAGCACCACCAGCTCCGGCAGCTCCAGCGCCTCCAGCACAAGCATCCCCGGGACCAGCAGTGCCAGCACCACCAGCACCTCCAGCACCAGCTGCACCAGTGCCTCCAGTGCCAGCGCCTCCAGCGGCAGGGCCTCCAGCTCCAGCAGCGCGACTCCGAAGGCGGGTGTGCCAAGCTTACCACTCGCGTAGCTGCTGTGGTGAGAGAGGCTCCCGCCGGCTAGACCGCTGGGGCGAGGCACAGGACTAGTAGCTCTAGCACCCCCAGTACCTCCAGTACCAGCAGTACCTCCAGCACCTACAGGACTAGCAGCTCCAGGGCCTCCAGCTCCAGCAGCGTCACTCCGAAGGTGTGTGCGCCGAGTGTACCACTCGCGCAGCTGCTGTGGTGAGAGAGGCTCCTGTAGTGTAGACGCAGGACCCCTAGGCTCAGCACCCCCAGACTCAACGCCCCCAGGCTCCGCACCCGCAGGCTCAGCACCCCCAGGCTCTGCACGCTCAGACGCAGCACCCCCAGGCTCCAAACCCGCATGCTCAGCACCCCCAGGCTCCGCACGCTCAGGCTCAGCAACCCCAGCCTCCAAACCCGCAGGCTCTGCACCCCCAGGCTCCACACGCTCAGGCTCAGTACCTCCTGCTCTGATACCATGTCAGAAACTAACGAGCAGGAATGAATGCATTGAGCAGAAAGTTGATACAAGTACCGTGATCTCCCGGTTAGAAGACCCGGGGGTCTTCTCCTAAATGTGCTCAAAATGGGCTGTGGGGTCTTATCTGATGGCATAGAGTGCATAAGACCCCAGGACATTTATAAATCGCACAAAAATGGATTGTAAATACCAGTATTGAAGAATTTCAATTTTTTTTTGCGAATTCGAGTACGGCTCAAAACGGGGAATTCTATCGCCACTCTCGCTTCGCACATCAATCGTTGCCACGCGTCACACCTCCTGTAATGCCCAATTGTGACAGGTACGTCAGCATTTCTCGCGTGACGGGCGGCAAAAGCGCATGATCGACATGGCATCATAACTCCATTGACCACGAATTCGCCCCACAACGTGAATCTTGTGTTTTCTTAATGTGACTCGCTAAGCATCTCACCGGTTAAACACCACCCATGCAAAAGAGGGGGGGTCTTATAATGAATGGGGTCAAAAGGCGGGTCCTCTCTAGGACTGACTTAATAAAAGACCCCTGGTCCGGATAGAAGACCCACGGGGCTTGTACGCGGGGGGGTCTTGTAACCGGGAGATCACGGTATGACCCTAATTGGGTTGTACCCCATATAGGCTACCCCACTACAGCCTACACAGCACACACAGCATGATAGTTTGACAGCGATTGCAGCTGGGAAAGAGAGGAGCATGCTTGGTTGCCTGTCTGCTGTTCAAAGGGCTGCTGCTCACAGCTTTGCAAGAGAGGCTCGGCAGGTGAAACTCCACTTTCTTTTGTTATGGCACATATCAGAACTGAAGTCATGCGGATCATGCTAGTCAACTCAAGGCAACAGGTCTTGTTTGACTAAATCACCTTCCTGCGCTATCCCCCTTCCTGCCTGTCTCTGTCAGAAGCGACACTGCCATGCTGTATGCAGCTCTCTTTGCCGTCTTCCACCTCCCCCTCTTACTCCTCTTCCCCAAATGTGTCAGAATCCCAGCCACTAGACTAGTTGGATAAAATGGCTTGTTTCAGTACCGTATCACCCCGGATATAAGCGCAGGCCTATGTTAAGCGCATGCGCTTGTATCTGGAGCAATGCGCTTATGGCCGATCCTCAATTATAAGCGCACCCCTTATAAAACCTTGATTTATCATTAGCGCATGTATAAACATAATAAAAAAAACCGGATTAAAACAGTAACGACTTCCCGTTTTGTAGCAAGTCCACATCCACTTCTACTCTGTTCGACTCCCTCGAGGGCGGGCTCGCTCAGGAAAAGCGCAACGGCGCGAAGTTGACCTGATAGGGGGCTCGGGAACAAATGTTGTCTGTGCGCTGCGAGCGAGCGACTGCAGGCCATTGGTCGTACACAGGGGCAAGCCTGTGCGATGCGAACGAGCGACTGCAATCTATTGGTTCGTACACTGGGCTGGGGCGAGCATGACACATTCCTATGCGAAAGTGACGTGTCCTTGCCCTTGTGCGCCGGCAGAGAATCGCCCTCGCGCGATTCTGATTCAGAACGCTCCACACATTTCGATTTGAATGAAATTGCAAGACTCAGATGCACAGTTTGGTTCGTTTATAACATATTTCTGTGTTTGTCATTGTATAAGCGCATGCGCTTATAACTTTGACTCATTTATAAGCGCACCCCCTTAAAAAACACTGTTTTATTATAAGCGCAGATGCGCTTCTATCCGGGGTATTACGGTAGCGGGTCCGTGCACCCATAACCCCCAGGCAAATACGCGTGTAACCCCCCTCGGATCAATCGGGGATCCACAGTGCAGATCTCGTAACAATTCCCCACACTGGAAGGCCCAGGACTAAGCACAGCGGCAACGGCCTGCATGTGTTTATTTGTCAGGGAGAATACGGTATCCCCCTTCCTGCCTCTCTCTGTAAAAAACGACACTACCATGCTGTATGCAACCATATTTGCCGTCTTCCACCTCTCCCTCTCGCTCCTCTTCCCCAAATGTGTCACAATCCCAGCCACTAGACCAGTTGGATAAAATGGCTTGTTTCAGTAGCGGATCCGTGCGCCAATAACCCCTAGGCAACCGCGCCTGTACCCCCCCTCGGATCAATCGGGGATCCACAGTGCAGATCTACTAACAACCCCCCACACTGGAAGGCCCAGGACTAAGCATAGCGGTAACGGCCTGCATGTGTATACACCGGGATTAGAATTCCAGCCACTAGACCACTGAGATAAAAGAGCTTGTTTTAGTAGCGGGTCCGTGCGCCCATAACCTCCCAGGCGAACGCGCCTGTAACCCCCCTAGGATCAATCGGGGATCCACAGTGCAGATCTACTGACCTACTCGCCATCTACTCCAATACAACGCAAAGCTAAAAAGCCGATCGTCAGCCAACCATTCAGCTAGTCTCCTCGTGGATGTCTTTCTGTTCTGGAGCACATTGCACACAGAAAAGTCATGGTACAATATATCATTTTTTAGACGGTGCCTTGTGTCCGAGAGGCCATGCGTGAGTGTGAGAGAGCAAGTTTGGCTGTGAGGGCGGCTCCACATTGTCAATCACAAGACCCCGAGCCGCCAGCCAGTCCCGGCAGTGCTCCCGGACCTTGGGTGCGTTCTGCACCTCGTGCATGATGAAAATCACATCGTTGATGCGACTCTGTAAAGGGTGCACCAGGCCAAACCCACCCCCGCCGCTGCTGCTGCCGCCACCAGAGCTGACAGTCGGAGGGGTTGCAGCACCTGCTGCCAGAACTCCCTGGGTGGTTGAGGCTGGAAGTGCCCCACGGAGACCTGAAAGGCCAGGCGCAGCCTGCCACACACACGCAGCCTGCCACACACACGCCACGTTGAAGAGAACCTTCATGGAAGGTGGGGAGATGCATGCGCATGGAATCTGACATGGACACAATGAGCCAAAATCGGGCACAAGTGCAATCTTACCTATGCTTGACGATTATGTAACACACATACTGATAATTGTCGGACATCTGGTTATGAAAGCATGTGTGGTTTAAAACAATATTAGAGAAAAAATCACACCCTCGATTACCGGTAATTGACCTACTTGTCCTCGCCTGACATCATGGGGATGAAAGCACGCCCATAGGACTAAAAGATACATTCAGAAGAAAAACACACACTTATGCTATCAAACTCACTTGTGCTCGTCTGACAGCATGAGCAGGATGATAGAGCTGGCGACACACGGACTCGGGATAGCGGAAGCAGAGCGAGCGAACCCAAAGAGGAAGGAGGAGAGGTGGGGATTGGAGAGCGGGGAGGAGAAACGGTCGTCATTTTATTCAAAGAGAAGCCTATGGATTGCCTTGACTGCCTCCTTGCGCTCAGCATGCGCCAAATGATTTTTGAGGCGCCTAAAAAAGAGGGGGTTGACACTTCATTCGAAGAGCAGCCTATGGATTGACTGCCTCCTTCCTTGCGCTCAGCAGGCGCCAAATGGACTCCACATTGCAGAAGCAGCGCGAGCGAACCTAGGGGGAAAGCAAAGAGAGTAATAATGACCCCTTTGAGATCGTAGACCTCTTTGACGAGTTCAACGAACTAGTTCAACCCTTGAAAACTCTCAAAGTCACTCTGATGTTGCTCGGGAGGAATTTGGTCGGGCCATGAACGAGAATGCATAGGAAGGTAGAGCAGGGGAGGCATGAAAGAGCCACTAACCTGCTGCCACGTGGCAAGTTTTGTCGTTGAGAATGGAGCGGATGCGAGTGTATTCATCCACAGCTAACTTGCAGGTCAGGACATTCGGGGTAACCCGGAGGGAGGTGGGGTGCGGTGTGGAGAGGTGGGAAGGAGAAATTGAAGGGGCGAGGGAGCAAATGCATCTTAGAAAATGGAGCACATGCGGGTGTATGGATGCACACATGAGTTACAGGTCAGGATCTTTGGAAGGACATGGGAGAGAGGTGGGGAGAAAGGTGGGCAGGGGGGAGAGGTGGGGAGGGGAGGTGGGAAGGGGAGAGAGGAAGGGACAAGGGAGCAAAGACATACAAAGAACAAAGTTGTCTCAAAGAACATACGATTCCATGCTTCAGCAGCACACAAAGGAGCAACAGATGGTATCGTATGCATGCAACGAGCATACCTGAGTCCGCAGGGGCGAGTGCGTCGGGAGGTGTGAGAGGCATGTGTTGAATACGGTGTGGATGTGTGCCAGCTGCCAGCTGTGGTGGTACCTGTGGTAGTGCATGGGTGCAGACATAGCACAAAAAACCACACACACACATGCATGGCAGCACACAGACACAAAATGAGAGTGCGAGGTGTTGAATACGGTTTGATTGTGCGCCAGGTGCCAGTTGTGGTGTTACGTTGTGTACTGTACACGTGCATGCAGATTCAGGAGCAGATATGCACACACACCCGCACACACCCACACACACCCACACAATCACACCCACACAATCACACCCACACCCACCCACCCACGGGAGTGGCGGGTGGATCGCTGGGTCTCACTGTGAATGTGATCGTCCCATACAGCCTGGAAGGGAACAGATGGGGAAAGAAGCAAATGGATAAGGACGAAGGAAAATGGATGGAACAACAAACAGAGTAAGCTATACTTATTGAGGGCATGGAAGGTTGTTGAGCTAACTGACTCCATGCCACCATACCCCCATGTCATCATAACAGAACCCCATGCCATCGCACCACATGTCATCACACCCCCATATCATCATGCTGCATGCCCTCATGCCATCATGCCATCCGTACCTGAAACAGCCAGATGAGGCGGGCCGATCCCGAAGCTAGCAGCTCATGGACGGCAATTCTTGTCTCTTCCTTCCTCACTGCCGTCCAAACAGAAGTGCTGGATGGCGCTTGTTGGGGCACATGGGGACGCAGTGCAAGCACCAACTGGTGGAAGGCAGACCTACCTGCAGCAGGGAGGAAGGGAAAGATGAAGAGAAGAGAGGCAGCAAAAGAATGAGTCGACACTGACAGGTTATGATATGATGGCATGTCAGTGCCTCACCTGTCTGTACCGTTTCCCCTTCACAACCCCATGCTCCACATTCAAAAACCAAGTGACTAATGAGTCATCTCGAAAGTCACTTCCTTATGAAATGATGGCATGTCAGTTCCTCACCTGCACTGCTCCTCTCCTCCTCCACAACCCCATACTCCACGGTAAAAAAACCGAAGGCAACCTCCCCTACTCCTCTGCTCGCCCACAAGTTTCGAGGCATCTCAGTCTCAATTACTTTGCCATACTCAACTGAGCAGTGCAGGTGAGTCAAGCTCACCTGTACCGTTCCTCCTCCACATCCCCATGCTCCCCATGCGATCAGCTGCTCCCTCCCACCAACCTTACTCACCTCTACTGCATCGCATGCGTTCTCACCTTTCCTCCTCCACAGTTCCATACTCCATGCTCAGGTTTTGCAGACAACCTGCTGTTTCCATTCTGCCTCTCCCCATCACACGTTTCAAAGGCATCTCAACAACGCATTTACACTACACTGCTCACCTGTACTGCCGCTCCTCCACAACCCCGTACTCCACGGCCAGGTACCACAGGCGACCCGCTGCTCCCTTCACGTCTCTCTCATCTCAAATATACTATGTCTCAAAGCATCTCTCAATGCATCGCCATCACATGCTCACCTGTACCGCTGCTCCTCCACAGCCCCATAATCCACATTCAGGTACCGTAGGCGACCAGCTGCTCCCTGCACGTCCCCGCCTCTAGCATAGATGCCACCGCCCCCAGATGAGCCAGCCTCCTGCACCCATCTCACAGCCGGCACTCCTTCTGGCCAGGATTGAGAGGGTAGACTACCCTCAATTTCCAAGTCTCTTGCTTCCTAACGCCATCGCATCGCAGTTACCCTACTCCTCCAACCCCTCTGCCGCACAATGTTCCTGGAAAGCTCGTCCAAGATCTCTGGGTAATCTCCAAAATACAATAACCCACCAGCAGATGTCACATCAGGAATGATTGTTTCAACATGTACTGGTTCCCGACCCACTGCTGCTTCCACCCTTTCTTCAACTGCTGCTGCGTCTGTTAACTCGGTTGTCCAGGCCGATCCTTCCGGAACAGCTTCTTTCGTTCCTTTCACCCCTTTCACCCCCTTTTCTCTCTCGCTGGCACTGCATCTGCTCCTTCCCACAACCAGCAGCCTACAGGGAAGGCCCCAGACCGATCGGTCATGAAGCAGAGTGACTGTTGCACGCATCTCCCCCCCTCTTCTCTCTCCTTCCCTTCTCTCTCCTCTTCTTCTCTTTCCTATCTTCATCGCTCCCCCCCTCCTCGCTCCTCCCCGCCTCTTCAAAAAAGCCCCCCCCCTCGCCTGTACGAGTTACAGGACGATCCACTCTTTGTGAGGATGCAGATTCTTGCACCTTGAGTGAGAGCTGGGCCAGATACAGGTCGAATTCAGCTTCATCCACCATCACTCTCTCCTCCTCCAAACCATCGCCTGCTTCCCACCCTTCGCTCCTCTCCTTCCTCCTCCTCTTCCCCTATCCCATCCCCGTCCGTGTCCTCCCTCATCCCCCTCCTGATCATCTCCCCGTTCAGACGGCATCAGCTCAAATCCTGTAGTTGGATCCCAAACTTCTTCTCAAACTCCTTGTCTGTACCCCGAAGAAACTGCTGCAGGCACACCGTTTTCCTGGCCGCTTTCAGATTCACAAGCTGCTGCTCTGTGACAGCTACCCCTCTTGGCTCATCACTCCCTAGGACAGCCCCAAGTAACGATCCATTGTCACAATCCCCCCCTTCGCACTGCTGCTCTTGCCTGTCACCCGTTCCTTCACTCTTTGTATCTTCTACTCCCCATACAATCCTACTAGGATTTACTCTCCCCACTTTGTCAGATACAGAACCCAGCTTGCGCTTCTCTTCCCCAGCTCCAGTCGAAGCATTCCTCCGGCCTTTACTCGCCCGACTAACCATCTCGTGCGGCACAACCGCATAGCCCATTTGCACCAGTGCCATATATCGAGGTCTGATTCGCCGATCCAAACTGTACCCAAGAAACTGACTGTAGGCAAGCACCTCCTTAAACGAGAGCCCCATGTCTTGTTTTAGATAATCGACCTTGGGCTTCAGGTTCGTTTTCCAGCTGCAGCGGAGAGGAAAAGAGTACATTACCACCAAATCCACCACCAACTGACGAGCCCTACATCTCTTCTCATTTCTAGTTGAGTTCATCGTAAGCGACTCATCCCCTTCCAAGCAATTACCTCTCTCACCCTCCTCCAACCTTAGTGTTCCACTCCCCTCTTCTCCATTGCCCTCCAAAACTTCTTCCACTTCTCGCACAAGCTCTCTGAAATTCTCCTTTAAGACATCTTCACTAGAAGATAGTAGCGAAGGAAACTGTTTCACCGCCAGCATAGCATTCTCTCGACCAAGTAAAGCAGCCAGTATCGCCACCTTGCCTTGCAGATTCTCCTTCGAATGTTTCAGAACCGCTGAGTAACTCCTCGCCACTCTTCCCGTTACCTCCTCCCCCACCAGCTCCACAAGGAACTGGAGCTTAGCTAACAAAGTCTCTTTGCTGAAATTGAGAATGTTGGGTGCACGACGAAGCACAGAGCTTGCAACGGAGGGGGTGCCTGGGGGAGTAAAGGACTGGAGGATGGCAATTTTCTCTGCAATGCGATAGGGAGCAATAGAGAGGACGGCTGGACAGCTCACGATAAGCCTTCGTAGGAGGCTGGTGGTGTCCATATGCGACTCATCTAGTTGCTGCTTCAAGCGGCCTGTGCTAGAGCTATCGGTTTCTGCCTTCCCTCCAACTTCCACCTTCAGATAGCCTGATAACGTCTCAAGCTGAAGATTCACAGCCTCTTTGCTCCGAGTCAAAAAGGACGGACATATCTCTATAATGAAACCCAGCTTGACCACAGGAACCCCTGCCTTCTCCACCAGAATGTCCAGGTTCGTTGAACGTGCCTCTGAGCAGAGTAGATTGCGTCCACGTCGAAGCACCGAGCCCAATCTGCTGTGGCGGACGCCTTGAGCCAAAAGGAACTCAAGGGTGCTTTGAAGTTGTGGAAGAGGGACTCGGAGCCAGGCTGCTCCTTTCTCAGTGATGAAGGCAATGTCAGCTTGAGATATGCCATACGAATGTAGGAGACGGACACGTGGCAGGAGGTCATTGGTGGGATTGGAGCGGAGGAGGGCAGGGTGAGAGGCGAGGACGGAAGCGACAGTGAAAGGGGAGGAGATGTCGAGATGGGAGGAGAAGAAGCAGTAGAGGGAGAGGAGGGAGGCGGGAGATACAGCCCGCCGCTTGTTGAGTAGAGGAGGGGGCGTGGGAGGAGATGTGGTGGGTGGTGCGTCCTCCTCACTCGCTTCTGCTTCTGCTTCCTCCCCATCCTCCTCCTCCTCCTCTTCCTCCTTCTCCTCCTCCTCATCGTCCCCTTCCTCCTCCTTTTTCACTTTCCCCACCCCCTCTTCGTCCTTGCTGCTTCCTGTCCCACTCCCCCACTCCTCCAACTCCTCTCTCACAATCTGAGGCTCGAATTTCTCCCTCAGCACTCCAGCAATCACTGCCACTGCCTCCTCTTCCTCCTTGCAGCCTTTCGTCCCGTAGCTCTTCCTCCCGCCTCCCTCACCCTTTCCCCCCACATTACCTGCTCTCCTTTCACCCCTCCCATCTCCACCTCCCGTTTCTCCCCTCCTCTCCCCCCACTCTCCTGATGCTCCCCTGACTCCCTTTCCCACTCCTCCTCTCCTCGCCCTTCACTGTACGCGTTTTAAGCTCCGGTTGCACCTCTATTAAAGGGTTGATCCTGGAAAGCGATTTCGACCCAGAAATACCACCCTCCGCCTCGGAAGCTTCTGCGTCCGCTAGCCTGTAAGACGTACCAGCGGCAGACCTTGTCGCGAAGCTTCGGGCGTGGGATGAAGATGTCTCTTGAGGAGCATCGAAGCCTCGGCCTAGGTTTCGGAGTTGAAACGACGCAGCTTCGTTAGGATTAGATCCTATTCGATCGAAGCCTGGCAAGAAAGGAATGTAAGATGGCGACGCGATTCGGTGCGTTTGAGAAGTCTCAGGAGTAATAAGTTGGGGAATCGAACTGACAAACGGCCGTAACTTTAGAGGCAGGATTGGCGATAGCAAACGGCGGGCTGACCTACGCGAGGCGACGTAAAAGCTCATGATTATATTGATTTCGTTGCATTCGTCGAATTCGTCGAATTTGTTAAATTTTCGTGTTTGCCTGGATCCTCACTGGCCTTTACTGGCTAGTGACGTGAAACGTGAAGTCTCAATTCGCCTGTACGGGTTCAATAATCAAGAATCTTAAAACTATCAGGAATCACTATCTCAATGGATAATTAATGCCTCGAGCTGCTATTCTAGCTAGCTTCTGGCCTGCTCCGTGATGTGCGGGGTGCTCTGGTTCAACATTGAAGTACTGGATTCCAAGGCTACCGACGAGACCAGTGAGATGATCACCAAGGTCAGGGAGTGCGGTTCATCAGGTGCTTCACGTTTTAGAGCGTTCAAATACGTTTACACAGTGGTTGGGATAGGTGCTTACCTCCTGAGATTCTTTCCCCTGATTTGAGCTGGCATGGGAAGCCCTGCGGATTCTCGAGGCGAGTACTTTTCCCAATCAACTGTTCGTCGAAGCTTTGGGATTAGGGCGTGTAAAATCGCCGCACCTAAAAGTTCGGCCACTAGCCAAATGGCCGAATTGGCGAAAGTAACCCGTTTGCGAAGACTACAAAGACGCTCGCGACCGTCGTTAATTTCGCCAATAAAAAACGAATTTGATGGCCGTTTTGAAATTCGACTCGTATCCGACACCATGTCGACTCCAATTCGGCCAAGTAGTCGACACCGTTCGCGGCTGTCACGTACGACGTCACACGGTCTCGCAGAACGACTGAATTTTTTTAACCTGTCCAATCAGAGTTTTTGCCGTCAAATGTGCGACCCCGTCGCACATATATTCCTGTCGAAGAGAAAGGCCCCGCCCTCGCTTGGGCGCAGCCGATCTCGCCGTCGACGAGAAGTTCGCGATGGATTAGTCGAAAAAGTGTGCTTCTGCAGTTTGACGGAAGTTGCAGTCGAGCAAGTTCTGCTCGACGGAATCTGGTCGACGAGCTCTGCGCGACGAGCTCTGGTCGACGATCTCTGCGCGACGAGCTCCCGTCGAAGAGCGCTGGTCGACGATCCTGGTCGAGGAACTCTGGTCGAAGAGTTCGGGTCGAGAAGTTTTGCTCGGCGAACGCTGTTCGACCGAGCGATGTCGAGCTGATCGACCAAAGTTGCAGAGTTGTGCGAAACTCTGCGAAGGCGTGCGAACATTCGCCCAGGAGATTTTGGCGAAGTTCTACCTGCGAAACGGCATCACGTGGTCGACGGTGCGCACCTGGCGAAACCGACGACACGTTTTCTACCTGGCACCTGCGCAATGTGCCTGGCGGTGAAGCCGTTAACCTGCACCTACTTGGTAGGTGCGCACATCTGCGCAGATAGACAACCTGCGACTGCAGATAGTTACCTGCGACTGCAGATAGTCACCTGCGACTGTAGTGTTGGCAGAACGTGCGCGTTGCAACATTGGCAGATTACTCTGCTGCAGCGTTGGCAAGCCGCTCTTCTGCTTCGCTGGCAGATTTCGCCCTTGCGAGGTGTTGCATGCCACTCTAGTCATATCATTTTGCATGCCTCAATTGTACTCTAATCTTTCCTATCAACTTTTGATTGCAAGTTGCTCTTTTCAATTTCCTTAGTGGAAACTCGTGTCAAACTCCTCTGTGAACACAAGCAAACAGTAAGAACGTTAGGACAACGCTACGATCACCTGCACAACTCTGTGCTCTCCACCGTAGTCCACTCCCGTTGTGTAGTGACTCTCCGCAGTTCCTACTGTAGCAACTGGAACTCGGCCCACAAACCTGTAAAGTTTGCAAATCTGCAAATAGTAGCTGTAAATGTGACGACACGAAGTCGACCGTCCGTCGACTTTCGCGAAAGAAATGTCGACCAGATGGATGGTCGACGTAAAACCGGCCAAAAGCAGATTTCGCATATTTGCGGGGATTTTACACGCCGTTAGGGCGTGTATTGTTTTTCCGAACCGTCAAATGTCCGGACCAGCTTCTCAAACCGTACGGACTGCGTCGGTTCGGAAGGTTTTGGGCATTTGTCCGAACGAGTCCCGTACGGACCTCTATGGTACAACATTTTTTGTGGCGAAAACGTGAACTGTAAACGAAATGATAACGACCTGTTACGCGACATGATTTTTGTCAGATTTATATGACAGAGCTACTGTAGGCTATAGTGGGGTAGCACATATGGGGTACAGTTTTCCAGGGTTTGCATTTTGTACCCAACTTTCCCTTAGTCATTTTCATTCCTGTTTTCTTAATTCACATGGTATAGAGCGGGTTCCTGCATGGGACCGTTCCTTCCTAAGGGCCCACCATAACGAATTTTTTTTTTAGCTGCCCGACGCGCATTGCGCCCCTGCCCTAATTTTTTTTTTTAGCGCCCCCCCCCTAGCGGCCCCTACGCGGCCCCTACCTGGCCCCTACGTCGCCCCTGACGCGGCCCCTACGCGGCCTCTGACGCGGCCCCAACGCGGCCCCTGACGCGGCCCCAACGCGGCCCCTGACGCGGCCCCAACGCGGCCCCTGACGCGGCCCCAACGCGGCCCCTGACGCGGCCCCAACGCGGCCCCTGACGCGGCCCCTACGCAGCCCCTGACGCGGCCCCTGCCGCGGCCCCTGACGCGGCCCCTACGCGGCCCCTACGCTGCCCCTGAGGCGGCCCCTGACGCGGCCCCTGACGCGGCCCCTCCGCCGCCACTACCGCGGCCCCTACGCCGCCCCTGACGCCGCCCCTGACGCGGCCCCTGCCGCGGCCCCTAACGAGGCCCCTAACGCGGCCCCTGACGCGGCCCCTGCCGCGGCCCCTGACGAGGCCCCTGACGCGGCCCCTGACGCGGCCCCTACGCCGCCCCTGACGCGGCCCCTGACGCGGCCCCTGACGCGGCCCCTGCCGCGGCCCCTGCCGCGGCCCCTGACGCGGCCCCTGACGCGGCCCCTGCCGCGGCCCCTGCCGCGGCCCCTGACGCGGCCCCTACGCGGCCCCTACGCTGCCCCTGAGGCGGCCCCTGACGCGGCCCCTGACGCGGCCCCTTCGCCGCCCCTGCCGCGGCCCCTACGCCGCCCCTGCCGCGGCCCCTACGCCGCCCCTGACGCGGCCCTCTCCTGCACCTGACGCGGCCCCTAGCGGCCGGCCGCTGCCGTCCCTGAGGCAGCAGCCGCCGCCGTCTCTGCAGCAGCAGTCGCAGCCGAACGGCCGAGCCGCCGAGCCGCCCAGCAGCCGAGCCGCCCAGCCGCCGAACCGCCCAGCAGCCGAGCCGCCCAGCAGCCGAGCCACCGAGCCGCCCAGCAGCCGAGCCGCCGAGCCGCCCAGCAACCGAGCCGCCGAGCCGCCGAGCCGCCCAGCAGCCGAGCCGCCGAGCCGCCCTGCAGCCGAGCCACCCGAGCCGCCCTGTCCGGTAAGAGCAGCGCCCCTTTCACAGCACTGCCCTCACCCTACTGTTTGCGCTGCTAGTCTACTACTGTCATGGCTACCCCTAGTGTCCTCGCTTTTGACGCTGAGGGTCGGGCCATTGACTTTGATGTCTGGATAGATGACCTGCAGCTTTTCTTACAGTGCGACAGGGCAGACGGCCTCTCCCTCTTTGACCTCACTTCTGGTGCCTCTCCTGCCCCCGCTGCTGATGCTGACGCCACTGTTCGCTCACAGTGGGCCACGCGCGATGCTGCTGCACGTCTTGCTGTGCGTCGCCACCTGCCTACCTCTGAGCGTGCGCACTTTAGCCAGTACAAGAGTGCTCAGACCTTGTACGACGCTGTAGTTGCGCGCTACTCCTCCCCTGCCACTGCTGCACTGAGCCGCCTCATGCTACCGTACCTCTTCCCTGACCTTGCTGCCTTTCCCACAGTCGCTGACCTCATTACGCACCTCCGCACTAGTGACACTCGCTACCGCGCTGCGCTTCCTGCTGAGTTCTGCGCCAAGAACCCCCCCCCCATGTACATCACCCTCTACTACATAGTCACCCGGCTCCCTGACTCCCTTCGCGTAGTCAGGGACCACTTCCTCTCAGTTTGCCCCACCACTCTCACCGTTGACCTCCTCGAGAAGTCCCTCCTAGCAGCAGAGAAGAGCATAGTCGCTGTAGGAGCCTCTCGTGGTGACCCTCGCACCCCCATCTTTGAGGGGTGTTCCCCCTCCCCCCTTTTGCCCTCTGTTGCCTCTGCTGCTGCGGCCGACCTCGTTGGGCTTGAGTCGGTCGGTGCGGCGTCTACCCCTAGCGGGAGACGTCGCCCTAGCAAGGGCAAGGGGGGCAGGGGCACTGGAGGAGCTAGCGGGGGCGGTGGAGGCGGAGGTGGAGGCGGTGGAGGGGGTGGGGGTGGCGGTGGCGGTGGTGGCGGGGGTGGAGGTGTCGGTGGCGGCAGTGGAGGCGGAGGCGGAGGCGGTGGTGGCGGTGGGAGCGGAGGTGGCAGCGGTGGAGGAGGAGGCGGCGGAGGAGGTGGAGCTGGTCGGGGTGGCGCTGCGCAGAGGGTCAGCTCCGGTGGTGGTCAGCGCCAGCAGCAGCAGCAGCAGCAGCAGCAGCGCACTCGTGACATCCCCTCCCCTCAGCAGCTCCGTGAGTGGTACACTGCACGCCAGAGGGGTTGGGGTACTGGTCCGTACACCTACGTCCTCCGCACCGGCGACCGCGCGGGTGACCAGTGCGGGGGTGCGCACACCACCCAGCGCTGCTTTGGCCGCCTGACGGATGCTTGGCGTCACCAGTTCCCTGAGGCCACTGAGATCCCCCGCTGGGGTGAGCTGTCTAGGGCGGGTGTCGCTGTCTTTGACCTTGACTTTGATGCTATTCTTGCTGCCA